GGGTTAAATTCATGTTTACAAAGGTAAAGGGCAGAATGAATTGATATCCTAGACATTGAAAAGAACAAATGTGAGATTAAAATTTCAAACAGTTTTGAAAAATACTACATTATGTGGTCTTTCACTCTCTCTCTTTCCTGATATCACATCATTGCTCACGCCTTTTTCTCTGCTTAAGATGTTCTTACTTCTCTCGTGACTTCTCTACTCATCCTTTAGGTCTCATTGCTTGCTCTGGAAAGCATTTCCACAACCCCAAGTATGAGTTACGTATCCCTCTTATGTACTCTTATAACATCCTTTGCTTACTACTGTCATCTACTTGACACTCCATCATTTAATTGGCTTCTTAATTTATTTGTCTCCCAATTAAGCTGTCAGTTCCTCAAGGGGAACTTGAGTTACTGAAGGCTGTGTCTTCAACACTTGGCACAATGCCTAGTAGGTGCTCACAAATCACTTGTTGAATTATTAGATGGATATAGAACAAGTTGGACCTATCAATTCTCAGCAGAAAGATTATGCATGATACCTGATTCCAGCAGAATAGCCCAATGGACTTAGAGGCAACTTGGAACCATTTTTCACTGCCTACATCACCATTGTAATGATGAGAGTGTCTCGTTCCTGGGGTTTATTCAACACACATGACATCTCATTATTATTTTAAAGAAAGGAAACTGAAAACGGGATTAAAGAAATGTCATCACTAGGAGGTGTTGAAGAAGTCTCCCAAATAAACTTTGTTTCCAAACCCAAATGCCAAAAGCTTAGGAAGAGTATAAATGAATGCGATGAGTTGTGGTTTTGCTCCCAATTATTAGTGCCCTTCCTGTAAGTGTTTTATATATCCTCACCATTGCCATATGACTTGCAGGACTTCCATTTGGAAGAATTATATTTCCTTGTCACTTTGAGGTCAGTTTGGCCGAGGATTTACATTGGCCAATAGAATGTGCGGAAAACACACACACACACACACACACACACACACACACACTGTGTCCAAGAGGAAGCATTAAAAGCCATTTCTTATTTGATTTTTTCCCCCCTTTGCAACAAGAACAGTGTATTCCCAATGGGGTGGCTTCTTCAGTCTAGATCCTGGAACTTGTCGCCATCATAGACCAAATGTAATGTGAGCAGAAAATGAAACAGTGTTGCTGCAAGCCACTGAGATTTTGAGGCCTTACCAGAGTAGAACCCCATCTAAGAAATGGAAGCAAGTATCAGGTGGAGCACTTACCAGACGCAAGAAAACCTCTTTGTCCCAAGAGACAGCCAGTCCTTAGCTCCCATGGATTGTAACAATGTAGAAATGCATGCTAACTCTTGCCAGATCTTCCTGTAAGAGGAGCCGAATTTTCAATTAAATCCCTTCCTGATTTTCAATTAAAGTATACCTTCTTTTTAAATGTTGGCAGCTAAATTCACATGTTTAAAAAACTCCTAGGGCAAATCAAATCAAGTAATACCTTAATGATCTCTTTTCCATTCTGTAGTTTGTTTATTCGTAAAATAAGAATGCTAATATCTGTTCTGTCTCTCTAACAGGGTTATATTGAGTGTCTTACCTTATAGTTTAAAAAAAAAAAACACTTAATTCTGAAATGATGCTAAACTAACAAAGGTCAGGTAAATTCTTAAACTACTCTGGCAAAGCAGACTGAACAATTCTAAGGTGATGAGGTACCAAAGAGGCCAGCAGTACAAACCACTGCGCCTCAACTTTCCCGTCCCTCCCCCGTTCTCCACTCCTCCATGCAAAACATGAAAAGCAGACTTCTCCACTGGCACATCAAACTAGCATGCAACCATCTTCAGGAATCATCTGAGCCTGAAATGATTGAGAGATAAGTCATGGACAAAAATGAACGGTTTTCTGTCATGAAACAAATAAATGGTTCTCTGTCACGAAACATCAAGGTTTATGGCAGAGAACTGTTGCAAGTAAACAATCAAGGTTTGTGTTGTTCGACCCAAGTTGACTTTCCTAGATTATAACATTGAACTTCGTCCTCCTTAACCACGTTATAGAAACGATTCAGGCAATTAAAAAGAAATAAGAAAAAAAATAGCCCAAAGAAATATAGTATCAAGAAAGTTGGATAAATTTTCTATGTTTGATCAAATGTCTCGTACTTGTTTTATTTTATGCAAAGAATCAAAATTCTAAAACGATGTGGATTTATCTAATAATTTGCATGATATAGCACATAGGTAGAATTTTATGATAATCCTGAATGTGTGTTTCAGTAAAAAAAAAAAAAAAAAAAAAAAATACTCTTTAAAAATGTAAAGACGATTAGGGAATGCCTGAAAGAGAAAAACGTAATCTGTTTATTTTTTTCCGTTGCATTTTCAGGGCTCACATTTTTCCTTTCATTGCGCAGACAAGCCACTAGAGGGCACTGTCTAGCTCTGCTTCCTCAAACCCCGTGTGAGCGCTGCATCTGACCTCTGATTTCCCCACTGAGGACCCTCCAGGTTTTGCCTCACTTTAATAGGGTCAGATAGTGACAACCCATCCGCCTGAAGAAAGCTGCAAACCTGTTCTTATCGCAAGGCCGGTTCCCATTCCCCAGGTGACTAAAAGCTGATTGGTCCTCAGGTGAGGGGGAGCAAAACATCCATTGCTTTCCCGTGGCTACCTATGTCATCTAGTCCGCAGCCCTGACGGCTGGAGTTTACTGCCCCCCAGCCTCTGCAGGGCATTGTGCCCGTTGCTGGAAACAGAACAACGGAGACAGGACCCACCAATACAAAGGTAAGGATCGTTCAGAACGACCTGGGACGTGTGTTCATGAACAGGCCTGTGTCAGTGCTGTCGGATTTTAGGGAATTGTTGACAATGCGATTCTGCAGACAAGGAAAGTGAGCAGTCATGGAAGAGAGAGCGCTCTCAGACTGACCAGTCCAGGCTGAAGAAGGTATGAAAGCTGGATTTTAGGCTGTTCCTTTTCCTTTCCCCTTCCTGCCTTGGCAAGGGACCTCCATAATGGAGGGAACGTGAAGCTAGGATATGACACAGGTGACCCGAAGTATATTTTTAAAACGATCAGCCCATACACCCCAGGACTGCCCTTGAGAAGTTGCTTTCCTCTGCATGGCAATATTCGTTTGTCATGTATTGATTTGAGAAATATTTATTGTCAAGTGTGCCCCAAGCGCTCATTGGTAAATAAGATAGCCATAGTCAGGGTGTGCCCACTTAGAAACTGTAATTCATTGGTAACACAACGATTGTAATGAAGTGTAACAAGTCCTATGATAAGGAGAGAAGATGGCACCATATGTGTATAGAGCAGGGGCACCTGACCAACACAGTAAGTCAGGGGAGGCTTCGTGGAGGAAGCCTCCACGTACTATTCAGTTGAGAACTAAGCAGAACTGGAGGCCACCTAAAGAAGGAGTAGGTGTATTCCAGGTGATGGCAGCACAGCCCAGAGGAAAAAAGAATCAAGCAGGATTGTATTTGTATATACACAGTTTTGAGATCTTGCTGTTTTCCACTTACCCATTTTACCCTGAGTCTCCATAACTTTAACTGTTTTTGAAAATATGACTTTAATTGTTGCTCTGATAGTCCATTGTAAGAGCAGTGACATTTATTTACCCATATTCAGAAACAGCATTTTTAAGACTCCTGCTAATTGCTCTCCCTGCATCAATACAAAATCATGTGAAATAATTCTTACTGCTTCTATAAATATCAACATTTCCTTTATGTGGCTGACTCTTGAGCACAATTCCTGCCACACAACCTGATATCCAGCCATAACAAACACTGAATTTATGGAAGGTATTGATTGATTACATATTGTTTACCTTTAAGTTTTTTATAAATTTTGCTGCAGTTGTTTTTCATGAATCGGCAGGGCCTTAAGAGGCGCTCTGGATTCTTGTCCTGCTGTTCAGATTACCCGCTCCGTGTCATTCATTCTTCCGTCTCCCCCAAGTCCGCATCTCTGCTCCCTCCATCCCGTAGTGCCTCAGTCTCAGGCTGCTCCCTCTCTGGGACGCTCTGCTGATACTTATCTCCATCTTTTCTCCAGTAAATCATTTTTTTTTTTCTCCGTGGCCCAGATTCCTGAAGCTGCAAACATCGGCTTCACAAATGACTTTTTTAAAAACCACACTTTGGGTAAAAATATAAATATGATATATGTGGCAAATTGTTCACATAGTAAATTGATTTTCTGGGTCAGGCAGGAAAGACTTTCACAGAAATCTTATAGGAAGTAAGATGATTTCGATGGAGTATCTAATCACCGTCTGTTGAATCATTTCAGATCTAGTTTATATTTTTTGTTCTGCCTCCCTTTAAAATTGAGCTTCCTTAGATTTCCATACCCTTCACTTTAACCTGCTTTAACAGTAAGGTTTTAGGTTCATTGGGTTTTGTTTCTGACTGTTTGCCTTTATTGTCTTGTTATTCGCTTATGCTTACTGATGCTTATTTCAGAGAGAAACGGCTCACTGGTTTCATAGCTGTCTAGGCACTAGCTACTCAGTTCAAACTCTTATTTTCAATGAAGGATTTCTTGCGTCTCATGTCTCTTACATTGCTGTGTGACTCACCGTGAGTCTGGGAGTCTTTCAGAACCTCAGAACACTCAAATGCTTTAAATTTCTCAGTTGTGTTCATTTCACATATGGGAAGTCACTTTCATTTGGACCACAGGACCTCAACATAGAAATGAGAAGGTCCATAGCTCCACAACAGGTCTGCCAGCCTGGCACATGCCCTGGCTCAGAGCTTCCCAGTCCAGTTCTTTGTCCAATTGGGTGGCTCTTGTCTATCACCTTGCCATACCCACTTTACTTATGCAAAGTTAATATCACAAACAGCAGCCCGTTCCTTGCAGTGAAAATTGTACTTCACTACTTTCATAGCCCCAGTTAAGAAGATACCCATGTATCTTTATTCGCAGGCGCTTAACAACTTTGCATCATTTAAAATGCTTCCCCTGCCTATTAGCTGATGGTGGCCTCAGGAAGGTGGACCTGGAAGATAACAGCTGGCAGGCTGAGGCCAGACACTGGCACGTGCAGTTGTCCCTGGTGGTTTTTTTGCACTGACTTGGGGAGCCAGCTCATGATCTCAGGATGTATGGAAAAATAATCTTTGTATTGCTATTGTCAGGTAAGTGATTTTATTTTAGCTTCGTTCTGTTTTATTGGATATGAGATCATCGAATAAAAACAGAAATGACCCTATTTTAGTTCTATCTTATTTAAATGAATAAATGAGTAGTATTTCCTATTCCAGTCTGTTGGATGGATTTTACTGGAACTCAGCTGCCAATGTGAGGGAAATGGCACAAGGAGCCCAGTTTTTATGGTTGAATCCAGTTTTCTAGTATGAGACGCTTCCTTCAATTCTAAGTCTAGCCAGAAGTAAAAGAATTGTACCAAATGCTATGAGAAATACCTCTGTGTGAATGAATGTATTGCTTTGTTTGAGTTATAAGGAGATTCATTTCCAAACTAAAGAGTTATTAATGAAGGTGTTGGTAGCTATATGGCTTTGAGTTTTCCAAAAGTATAATTTTCTACTTCTGCCAAATGGTGAGAAACCAAAAGTATGAACACTGAAACCGTGGGGAGTTGCTCACTTCTCTGTGGGTCCATTACTGAAGTGTGACATTGGAAGAAAAAAACAAAACAAAACAACTCTTACTGTCTCAGGTGTCATGTGAATTTCTGAAGAAATCTAAATCCATTAAAATAAAGAAATATCATAGGATTATTATTAAATTGTATTAATTCAATAATTTGAATTTAATTTAACTTCATTTAAATTTAATTATTAATTTAGTGTATTAACATGAGTTTGGCCTCTTTCTGAGAATGTTAGAGTTAAACACCCTCTCAAGTGAGTGTTTATGTGTTAGTAAAACTACTGCCCAGCACACAAATAAGGGGCAGGCAGTTACTTGAAACATTCTGAGTCTATTAGACATTATTGTACCCTAAGTTAGAGCAAGTGTCAAGGATCTACTAAATACTCTGTAGCATATAGGGAAGAGAGATCAGCATTTTCTAGGATACCCTAGGAGAGGATAAAATAGCATAATAGTTAAGAGAACAGGCCTGAGGAACAGACAAAACTGGATTTAAATCTAGTTTTACTTCTCAAAGCTGGGGAACATAAAGGCAAATTATGTGCCCACATTTTTTATGTGTTCTCATCTGTAAAATGCAGGCAATGTTGATACTTACCTCAAGGTAATAGCATGAAGACCAAACCAAGTGTTTAATGGAATACACTTCCTGATGCCTGAAACAAAGTAAATGTTAAGCTTACTATGCATTTCCTATGCTAAGAATTAAGTATCATGATTGATAATTATTAAAAATATAAGTATTAAAATAAGTAGTAGCTATTGATAATTATAGATTAGGGAACAAACCTACATATGTGACTGGTGATTTCTGAAAAGTCAGAGAGAAGAGAAAATTACAGAAAAAAAAAAAAAAAACAGAAGACGAATATAGCTACTCTGATTTGTTTACCAGAAAAGTATGAAAATATTTAGTTTGAAGAAAAGAAAACAAATAATAGGGATGTGGTATAATTTTTGTATATATAGTCATATATTTGTAGTGTTATTACACAGAAAATAGACGATGTAGTATTCTTTATGTTACTCCTTGGAGCAAACCAAACTTGGCATAACTCAACCAAAATTAAACACTGCATGCTCTACTGGGATGTGCCCAGTATTTGGGAAAGCTCTGTGTAACTTACAGGTGACCCAAATTTGAAAAGGGTTCCTAGAAAAGTAATAATTTTTTCTTTAGTTTCTACGACTACTCAAGCAGATAGTGGATTAAAGCCTTAACTGGCACTTGATGTAGGGGTCACTGGGACCAGATGACCCCGAAGGCTACACTGGTCTCCAGTACTCAAGCTGTTATCTTCGTAGTTTCAGAAACCCTCCTAGGAAACTCTCTTGATGTTTTATAAGCATAACAGAAAGATGTAAAAGCAAGTTTCTTCTTTTTCTTCCTTTTTTTTTTTAAGGGGCGAGGCATGAGCAGGTTGGCATTTTTATTTTATTTATTTACTTATTTTGAGACAAAGTTTCACTCATGTTGCCCAAGGTGGAGTGCAATGGTGCAATCTCGGCTTGCTTCAACCTCCACCTCCCAGGTTCAAGTGATTCTCCTGCCTCAGGCTCCTGAGTAGCTGCGATTACAGGCACATACCACCATGCCCGGCTAATTTTTGCACTTTCAGTACAGACAGTTTCACCATGTTGGTCAGGTTGGTCTCGAACTCCTGACCTTATGATCTGCCTGCCTCGGCCTCCCAAAGTGCTGGGATGATGGGCATGAGCCACCGTACCCGGTAGGCATTTTTATTTTATTTTATTTTATTTTATTTATTTTTTTATTTTTTTATTGCATTTTAGGTTTGGGGGTTCATGTGAAGAACATGCAAGATTGTTGCATAGGTACACACATGGCAGTGTGATTTGCTGCCTTCCTCCCCCTCACCTATATCTGGCATTTCTCCCCATGCTATCTCTCCCCAACTCCCCACCCCCGCTGTCCCTCCCCTATTTCCCCCCAACAGACACCAGTGTGTGATGCTCCCCTCCCTGTGTCCATGTGTTCTCATTGTTCAACATCCACCTATGAGTGAGAACATTCAGTGTTTGATTTTCTGTTCTTGTGTCAGTTTGCTGAGAATGATGGTTTCCAGGTTCATCCATGTCCCTACAAAGGACACGAACTCATCGTTTTTGATGGCTGCATAATATTCCATGGTGTATATGTGCCACATTTTCCCTGTCCAGTCTATCATCAATGGGCATTTGGGTTGGTTCCAGGTCTTTGCTATTGTAAACAGTGCTGCAATGAACATTCATGTGCATGTGTCCTTATTGTAGAATGATTTATAATCCTTTGGCTATATACCCAGTAATGGGATTGCTGGGTCAAATGGAATTTCTATTTCTAGGTCGTTGAGGAATCGCTACACTGTCTTCCACAATGGTTGAACTAATTTACACACCCACTAGCAGTGTAAAAGTGTTCCTATTTCTCCACATCCTCTCCAGCATCTGTTGTCTCCAGATTTTTTAATGATCGCCATTCTAACTGGCGTGAGATGGTATCTCAATGTAGTTTTGATTTGCATTTCTCTAATGACCAGTGATGATGAGCATTTTTTCATATGTTTGTTGGCCTCCTGTATGTCTTCTTTTGTAAAGTGTCTGTTCATATCCTTCACCAACTTTTGAATGGGCTTGTTTGTTTTTTTCTTGTAAATCTGTTTTAGTTCTTCTTAGATTCTGGATATCAGTCCTTTGTCAGATGGGTAGATTGTAAAAATTTTTTCCCAATCTGTTGGTTGCCGATTCACTCTAATGACTATTTCTTTTATTGTGCAAAAGCTATGGAGTTTGATTAGTTCTCCTTTGTCTATTTTGCCTTTGTTGCCAATGCCTATGGTGTTTTGGTCATGAAGTCCTTGCCTACGCCTATGTCCTGAATGGTTTTGTCTAGATTTTCTTCTAGGGTTTTTATGGTGTTAGGTCTTATGTTTAAGTCTTTAATCCACCTGGAGTTAATTTTAGTGTAAGGTGTCAGGAAGGGGTCCAGTTTCTTCTTTCTGCACATGGCTAGCCAGTTTTCCCAACACCATTTATTAAACAGGAAATCCTTTCCCCACTGCTTGTTTTTGTCAGGTTTGTCAAAGAGCAGATGGTTGTAGATGTGTCGTGTTGCCTCCGAGGCCTCTGTTCTGTTCCATTGGTCTTTATCTCTGTTTTGGTACCAGTACCATGCTGTTTTGTTTACTGTAGCCTTGTAGTCAAACTCACACGTAACAATATTAACCCTTTTTTTTTTAGACGGAGTCTTGCTCTGCCGCCAGGCTGCTGTGCAGTGGCGTGATCTCAGCTTATTGCAATCTCCGCCTCCCATGTTTAAGTGACTCACCTGCCTCAGCCTCTTGAGTAGCTGGGACTATAGGCCTGACTAATTGTTGTATAGTTAGTAGAGATGGGGTTTCACCACATTGGCCAGGCTGGTCTCTATCCCTTGACCTCGTGATCTGCTCACTTCAGCCTCCCAAAGTGCTGGGATTACAAGCGTGAGCCACCACGCCTGGCATTTTTATTTTTTCTCTATTAAAAAAAAGATGATTGCCTTGTTTTCTCCAGGAATCTTAAGAATAAAGTCAATATATCTATTTCTAAACTTATCAGAGGTCTTCTTCCAAATGGACAATCCATTTTTTCTAATATGACTTGATTTCTTCCCTGAATTCCTGCACTCATTTCACATTCAGTCATTACGTGTCAGATTGTGAACCAGACACTGAGCCCAGAGCTGGAAGACAAATGGGCGCCCATGGAGAATCCCTGCTGGATGGGTACAGTGGATGGTGGGAGGGAACACAGGTAATACACGGAACAACTCTCTTATTAAAATAGGACAAAACAGACGGTCAAAAATAATGCAAAGAAATAAAACCAGGTAAGATGATAAACATGAATGCCAAAAACTGCTTAAGAAAGGGTAGCAGGAAATTATTTTCTGAGACATGGCATTTATGCTAAACGCGGAACAAGGAGATAGAGCCAAATTTTCTCAAAAATTCTGGGGAAAGAGGATGGAAGGCGGAGGGAAGAGCAAGGGCAAAAATTCTGAGACAGGAGATAAGTTAGTGTTTTCGAGGAAAAGCTGGAGCTTTCATCTGAAAATCAGAGTCTGAAGCTAAGAACCAATCTGTAAGTACAGTACTATATCACTTCAACTAGAAAATTATGGCATAAACCAGGAGTCCCCAAAAGTTTTTTGTTTTTACTTAAAAGATCATACAAAATTTGCATTCTAGGTCATAATGTACTAATTTAATTGGAGGAAACAAGGGGACTGGTATGATATCCTCATGCCTACTTTATTCATTTGTGTAACCCCAGAAGCTAGCACAGTTCCTGATTAGTGTTTATAGTAGGATATTGGTTGAATAAGCAAAGAAGGAAGTGAAGGCAGGGAGAAAAAGAGACAAGCAGAGAGGGAGAGGAAGTGAAACTCCATCTCAAAAAAAAAAAAAAAGGAGAGAGGAGGGAGGTAGAGAGGGAGGCATGAAGGGAGGAGAGAGAAGGGAAGGGAAGAGACGGGAGG